AGGGGAGGGGAGGGGAGGTGGGGGGGAAGCGAGCGGGCGGTTTCTCACACCAAATGGCTGCGAGGAGCGCAGCCCGCTCCGGTTCGTCCTGCCGGGCAGAGCTTTCCCTAGCGCCAGGCGCCGCGTTTGCTTTCGCTTCCCTCGTTTTTAGTCGGGGGACACACATTTTTATTCCGTGCCCGTCCTGGAAGAGACGACTTGGGTTGGCAGGGACGGGGGGAAAACGTGACAACTGAGGGGAGGGAAGGGACGGGGGGGAGAAGCGCCTTCGCCTCCTTCAGCCGGAATGGGAACGCGAAGCGGGGCACGCGTACACCACCAGGCACTAGCGAGTTTCGACACCCGCCGTCCCGGCACCCCGCCCGAGGCGTCCCGTCGGGGGCAGGGGACGGCAGAGACGTTCGCCACAAAAGCGGTGCGACGCTGGCCCGCCTCACGGAAAGGCACCGGCACGCTGAAGCGTGCGCTCCGCTGTCCTAACGGCTCGTCGGCCGGCGCTGCCGACTGCCACCCCTCACCCCAGTCCCAGGCCCGCTCGCCTTCCAGTCCCAGTCCCAGTCCTAAAGCTGTCCTCGCAGAGCCGCCGGCAGCCCCCCGGGGGACGGCACACAGACGGGGTGCGCTGGCGCAGCTTCTCGGGTTTGAGGGTTCATCAACACCTCGCAAACTTCCCACCCCTGCCCTTCCTTTGCCCACCTGCCTATTGAACTATTTGTACCCGGGAATGTTGTTAAAATCTGCTGGGAAACTCGTACTAGCTCTGTGCAGTGGGTAGAGGGGCACGTTGCTCTCCCACCTTCTAGCTTTGGGTGTCACGTCCTTTCCAGCACCTGTTGACATCTGTTTTGAAATTCGCATGCTCTCGCCTAAAAACCTTCGCGTGTACTGACAACATGAATTAAGTGAGGTCTGCCACAAAGCGTTAAGGCTAGGATGGAATTAAGAAACGAGAATAAAATGATCAGAAAAATAATACATTCAATCAATTTTTAGGGCATGAAAAAAAAATTCATTACTTCGAAAAGTGCATGATTTCCACATAGATCTGTATTCTATTAGTATGTATAATGTATAAAAACAGTTAATACAACTTGGAATCTTTTTTATAATTACATTTCTTTATTCCAGTAAATTAATACATGAGTTTTACTCAAAACTCTCTAATTCTAGTTATTAAGAGTAAATTACATTTCATTCAAAGCATCTTCTCCATTTTAAAACCTGTATGTATGTAGGTATATCTATGTATTTATCTGCCTACCTTGTGGTCCCAGGTGAATGCATTAATATTAAATCCAATAAAGATTTCTAAAGATTGAATTACAGAGACGGCTTACGTAAAAATAGGTAACAAAAGCGGGTGGGGGGCGTTGGTGAATTTCTTCATGAAATTAATTTTCAACATATATGAGTTTTCTTCTAAAAGCCGGGGCCCAGAAGGGTGAAGACAAGTGCGTGGTACAGGTCACAGGAGATACTCGATGGATGTTTTGTGCCTAGAATGCTAGTACACAGAGTTCACGTCCGCAGCAACCATCTTCTGACATCATGTCTAAAGAAAGGGTATGAATGGGTCGACGAGTTTGCAACCTTCGGGTGAACCGTATCAAAATCCACCCCCAAACTGAGGGCACAGCAGTTCTATTAAAACCTACACACCTCAGACAATACTCTAACATTCCCCAGTAGATGAAGTCTGACTCAGCTTTCTTAACCAACTCTTTTATATGCTCAGTGTAGAAGGCATGAACACAGTGTGTACCTCAAATGCAGAACTGTCATTTAATTTTGCATTTTTAAAGAGAAAAGACACCCCAGGGACCGTAAATTTAATCTGTATGCACCGCTCCCATTGACATCACTGGATTTTAAATCTCCACTGAATAAATAGCTTCGAATTTTTAATGGATGAGCCATCTAGTCCTGAATCTGGCATCAGCAGATAGCCATTACACGCTGTTTCACCCATTTGCTTTGTGACTTAGTGGAAGTCAGAAGAACCCCATTATGGACAATTACATGATAATAAACCTATGAGGAAATTTCTTTCCAGCTCTCAACTCCATAATGGTTGGCTTTTGTTTTGAAACATGAAACATCCTTTATAAATATTTTATCCTAATAAGAACTATCAGTAAATGACAGACACCATTATTGCCCATACAGATAATTATTATCCATAGATACCATCCATACTGTTACCTAATCCTGGACAGATACTTCCTGATAAGCCTCCCCTGTAGCATGAATAATCTCATATTCCTCTATCCGAGTAGTCTCCAGTGCATGGCTCATAGCAACCCGTTGCCTGTGAGACGTTTTAATGTTGCTTACTGCCACAGGAAATTAAAAGTGAGACTGACAGAGGGAGCAAAGTATGATATTAAACACCTTGCATCTTCAGTATTCTTGCTTAGAAGCTGGCAAAGATTGGGAAACCACCACTCTTTTACCCTCTCTGTATCATTCTTTGCACTACCTATCCCAGTTTTTACTTTCTTCCTTCCATATGCCTGAAGATATTTATTGTCACTCTCCCCTGCCTCTTCTGCTTGAGATATGTTTTCTGTGATGTTTTGACAGATTCCAAACAGTATCTGAACTTGGTACTCACATGACAGTAAAACAGCAGATCATGTATAGCAACATTGCAGGATTTTCATAGTTAGTCAGCACCCCATCTTAAGCAATGGAATATCTTGCAAGTGCTTTTTGATTGCCATTGTGCATTAGGAAGATGTTTTCACCGTGCTATGCACAAGTACATCTCAGCTTTGTTTGTGAGTACTTACAGTTAATTTAGAGGCCATCAGTATGTCTGAGTAGAGCAAATTATCCTTCCAGTATGCCATCCTAATCAGGTTTTTGTTTGGGGTTTTGTTTTGTTTTTTGTTTTTTTTTAGAACAACAAACAAATTGTATCTGCAGGTTCTCTACTGTTAAACGAATAACATCCAATATTTGCAATTTCCTTCAACTGATATAATCAGTTTGTTCCAGTTATGTGTTGTCTTGACAAATCACCTTCTGAAATTTTCCCAGTGTTACTCATTTCAAAGTAAAAGCTGGCTGCCAAAGTCCTAAGGTACTACTAAGTAATGACTAGGGAAGGGTTAAAACCCCTCTTTGTTCATTTGATTTATGTGAAAGTTAAAAAAATTATTTCCTTTTACCTATTTGCATGTCAAGGTTCTCATTGGTGACTTATTTCTGAAAAAGTGCAAGAGTTGTTAGGTACTCTTTTGTTCTTCAAAGGCTCTCTTGATCCTACTGATTTTTTCTGTCGACACCGGTGGCGGCATGTTCTGTAGAGAAGTACAGCATGTGTAGCATCACTGCCGTACACGCCGTACACATCACAGCGTAACATCGCACGCTATCAAAAACCTCAGCATTGTTTCATGTGTTCCTTTGCGGTCTTAAGTACCAGATACTCCGTTTTCTTTATGAGTTGCCTGTATTAACACTTGGTTTCGGGGGTTTGCCACAGCTTACGAGATTGCAGTGGCAACTCTTGTAACTCCAGCCCCTGCCACAGCCTCAGCTGGTCCAGGGCAACATCGGCCCGGCCCGGCCCGGCCCGGCCCATCCCGTCCTGTCCCGGCCCGTCCTGTTCCAGCCCAGCCCGGCCCGGCCCGGCAACTCGAGGCGGAAAGCAAAAGGAAGTGGAAGGGAAGGTGCCAGGAAGGCGCTGTTTGCCAGGCACGGCCTCGCGTGTGCGTGCAGAGCCGGACGCCGCGCAGCACGCCTGCTCCCTGCGCACCTTCACGGCTAGACGGCGCATTCCCAAGAAGGAAAGCGGCTGCATGGGGCTACCTGTGCCTGCGTGTGTGTGACGCTAAGGGGAGCGCTCACCTCCCCAGGAACGTTCACCCCCCCACGACGACGCTCCCCCGCCGGCCCGCACGGA